CTTTAGGGTTGTCATTACGTAAGAGCAAGGGAGGGGGGAAAGAGTAATGTTTGTGCTATTTTTACATCTTCAAACATCTTCAAAGGGTGAATTTGAGCACAAAAGAGATCCTTCAAAGTCAGGATGGAAAATGAGACAAAAGAACAACAGAATGCAAGCGAACAAACAAAATTAATGAGCAGAAGCTGATTTGGCAACAATGAGCACAGAAGCTGTTGCTGAGAGTTTGGGAAAGCTCGAGTATCACAGAGAGTGGGTTGGCAGTATTACAGGAGCATGACACAGGCTAAGAAATTAGATTTTTTTTTTTTTTATAAGCGTGTGCCTCGAGGGAGCGTCAAGAGAGTGACACAAATTCGAATTTGGTGAATATTTATGACATCATCAATCAATCCCTCCTTATTTCGGTCAGAGTTATAGACTCTTCGGGACATATACCCAGTACACACACGTCAAGCCAATGAATTATGGAGCAGTGAGACAAAATCGGAGTACACACTCCGTCCTGTGTGGGTGGCAGCAAACACAGCTGGTATAAAGAGACCAACAAGCTGGTGTCCAGCAAATTCTCAAGACATAAAGCCATGCTGACACACACTAAATCAGGGCTAGATAAGGCAAACTACATTGCAGAACTTTGTTTCTTTTTATCTGCAGTACACAGTGTCTCCAAACACTTAATAGCTTAATAGTTTGTAGCTAAAAATTTACAGCCCTATAAAAGACCAGAAAGAAAATCTTGAACTGTTAAAAAAAGCCTCTCCAGGCTCCAATTTCTCAAGAAGTGCAGGTTACTGTACTATCTATGAACCGCGACTCAAGTCAGCACTTTTCAAAGAATGTTACACCGCTCCCCAGAAATTACAGAAAGAATAATATGATTTTAAAAGATTTAAGCAAATGAGGGTCCATTACAGAAAAAGAACATCCTCAATGCGGCGTCTTCTTTCAGTCCGGCAACGTAATTGAATAAATCCTCACAAGAGCCAGAGTTCCCATAATGCGGTCTCAAGAGATGTTACACTTCGGTAACAGCTTCAGTATATTAGAAGGAAGCTAAGCAGGAAAGCATGTGCAGAATGTAGAAAAACTGGCTCAACCTGAGTTCAGGGCATTACTCGCACTCCTCGGCAGCCCAGAACAAAACACACATCAAGGCACAGTGGAAAAAATGACAAATGATATTCTTACCGTACATCGATTGTGATGTGGGGAGTTTTTCACTACAAGAACTGTATGATTCCTCAGAGCAGCTTCAGTTCCTCATTCAGACACGCCGCTGTGCTGAGAGGCACTGGAAACGTACACAAATCCAATCGCATATGCACACACACACAAACACACAGAGAGCGAGAGAGAGAGAGGAAGAGAGAGGCGAAGAGAGACAGAGAGAGAGAAAGCCCACTCTGGGATAAATGCCTGCACGTGTGCTCTGAGCTAAAAAGCATAAAAACGTGCACCGTGATTGGTGCAAAGCGAGCCTCAACGCTGGAAATCACTCACCGTGACACACGCTCTCTCACACACACACACACACACACGCCCTCCCTGCCATGCAGACACACTTGCGTACGAACGGGAGGCTAAAAGACAACGTCAGAGAGAAATCACGCCGTGATGACCTTGGATTTTCCCAGTTCTTCTGCAATAGCTTTCCTTGTCAACAGAGCAGTGCAGATATAAAGAACCAAACATGCAACTATGACCCTCACACTTCTCCTAAATCGGCTGCAGGAGGTAAAAAAAAAAAAAAAGCAGAACACGGATTGGAGAAATAGATATGACGAGTAGATAAGATAGATAGAAATGGAGAACACCTCTCTCTCACACAACCTCCTCTTTCCTTTGGTCAGTGTCCCACATTCCTTCCTCTTTTTCGTTACCATTACACAAAGCTTATGTGACTTACCGCCATCCTTATGCTTAACAATTAAGAATACATTTAATCTTCTCTGACTGTATTTCTACACAACACCTAATGTAAATATTGAAAAAAAAAAGATAGCATTACATAACAAAGCACATTTTCCGCACCGATACAGACATGAGTGGAATGCAAACATTTGGATTCCATTCTTTAATTTTCGGTAGAACCATAAACGGTGAGGGCAATATGAAAAATCACCCTGAATTCTAAGGTTTTGCATGTCCCTCATGCAGTACAGTGAAAAATGCAGCCAGATGCTGCCAAACAAAACGTCTGTTGGCAACGCTACAAAATCAGGAGTTTGGTGCAATGCCAAAAATGAAAGGCATCAATAATGATCTTTTGAAAGGCAGCCACTGTGCAGCGGGAAAAAAAAACAGAAGTGATGTATCGGATTTCTTGACAAAATTAAACCCTTTCTATTTGGTTGATCTAAGGAATCTCTATCCCCACTTTAAAATATGCTCAATGTGAAATATGTTCAATAACACAATAGATCTGCCGTTAATACTGTGCTCAGACAGCCGTCACTGCGGGAGAGCAGTGGAAATATTACAGGTAATAGCAACATTTCTTTTTAGTTCAAAGAAAAGCACTAAGTTTATACACCAGGAGAACAGCTTTTGATGTTATTCCTGCACACCATTAATCAAGAGTGCACTGAAACACGTTAACTTACGAATAATTCATTCATTCATTTCAGAAAATGCTCCGTACGACAACAAAAGAAAGTCAGCAGATAGAACTGTGAATTTATTGAAGACAGCAAAAGATATAAAGTTAAAATATAAACACAGTCCTGCAAAGACTTTAGTTGGGGCAATTTAGTCCCAACTAAGACTTTAGTCGGAGTCAATGATGAGTGAGTTAGGTGGGGCACAGTCAGACCATTAATATAGACCATGTAACACCGACAGTGTGTTCTATGATTCAATCTACATAATACTGATTTTATTAATAAATGGATCAGTGTGATCTGGAGTGGTATCTGAGAAAAAAAAAAGATCAGATAACATATAAGGCAGCGAGTTTTTTTCTAAAAACAAAAATATAGCTCACTAATACATTCAAGAGTTTCCTGTAAATTCACCTGAAAGTCAAACAACACAACGCTCAGTAATAAAAAGTTGCATTTCATTCTCACAAAGCACTTTACATTCATAAGAGTACAATTTAAAGACAGAACCGTCCGAACAATCCACCGTTCAACCCCCCTTGCACAGTCATCAACTCATTAGTACTGCTACCCTCACAGCAAGAAAGCCTCCGGATTGAAGCTAAATTGTACCAGGCTTTGTGTGTGCGGAGTATTAATGGTCTTCTAAAGCCTGCCCGCATTTCCTGTGAATTTTTCAGTTTCCTTCCACGGAGCAAAAACATGCATGAAAGGCTATTCAGTGACTTCCTGCTGGGCCAGTATGAACAGAGATGGGAATTTTAGTTCTCCGTTTTCTGAGAGAAAATGTATTGTTTTAATTTAGTTTGGATGACAAAAATGTATTTGAGTTCAAATTAGGTGACATTTTGATCTCAACTTCCATCCTTCTTATTGGCTCATATTTCAAGAGCTATTTTAGTTCTTGTTTAAACATTGGTTAAATATGAAATCTGCAATCAGAACAAGATGGATGGATGGACCTCTTAGTCAGGGGGATAGGGAAAACGTTGTTCATATTGTATTATTTCCCATACCTATTCACACCCAACAAACACAATCAATGCTTTTCTTGACTTCCTAAGACCCATACTGGGATATTTTCTATTATCTTAGCCAATGCTCCTGTAAGTGTGGAACAACTTGTGTGTTTGAATTTACAAGAAAAATAATTTTGTCTTAAGTCGCCAAGGGAGCAAAGAGCAAGAAAACAAGAGAAAAGTGCACCTGGATTTATTTTTTTACTACTTTCAGTTAAGACTTTTTCTTTTAAAGCTTTCTTTCTCTATGTCCAAAGAGAACAATAGAAGTGGTGTTTTCTCTTACCCTTGCCAACGCGATGGTCCAGAAGGGTACGGCAGTCCAGTGCCAGCCTCTGAGTGGCTGGGACATCAGTTGCAGGCAGTGGCATAGTGGGCAATACACACACACTATTCTACTTTACCCAGACGCAGTAACTTAAAACACCAAAGCCAAAAATACTGATCTTAACCTGCAACAGATCTGCTATTTTAAGTCAATAGAAATTACGTTTTCTGACACAAATAAATGAGCTTTTTAGTTGCAAAAAGCACCACAACCAAACGATGCACTTTTTTCCCCCCTGACAAAACTAAACTGCAAAACCAACTTCTGCAGAACACTTACAACCACCAAAAGCAAACGCATACACCATCAATCTCTAATGAATACCAACTTGCATGTCCCTGTCCTGAGGCTTCTTCGTAATTTATGTTAGCACAGTGAAGTTGTCCGCATTAACTAAGAGATTAGCAACAAATCCTTCAATAGCAGCTCCAGGCTCAGTGTGAATCTCGCTCATTAAAAAACATCTCACAGACACAATGGAGCTCACTATCCAACCACAAGGAGAAGAGGGTGGAGATAGGCTGGGAACGAGGGGCACCGTGGGACTGTCATTCAGTGAGTGGGTTTGAAGTTCATGGAATGTGGACTTGGATGTGATGTGGGTAGAAGTACAGGGAAAAAAATGTGCTAGAGTTTGTCCTGAGATGACTTGTATTATGCACACATCTGGAACAAGTTTATACTCGAAAAGAATAGGTGCTTTTTCCTTTCACCAGAAGCTGAGTAAATATTTTTATGGAAATTATATGACATATTTTTCATGCGGATTCGTTAAAATCTAACTCATTTCTGGTGCAGGTGTGAAGTTGACGAGAGTTACTCACCTGTCATGCTGGACTTCAGTCACAAGGCGGCGTTGCTAATCAAGCAGACGGAAAGTTGGGTTGCACCTCGGCTCTGGGAAGAGTGTCTGCCAGGGCTTCGAGAGTCAGGAAACCCGCCGGCTTTTTTTTGGCCTGCTAATGTTAGTATGCCAAAGTTAGCTAGAGCGTGAACAAATTTAGCTAACACCGCAATATCTTTTATATTAGTCGAAGCTATGAATTTTTGAGTTAGTCTTATAACTTTACTGAAATGCAACAAGTGAATTTAAAAGATAATTCGGACAGTAATGTTATGACAACGGATATACATTGCTAGAGGTTAGCTTTCCTTGCTATAACTTAAACATCACCGATTATATTGACTTGGTGGCTATGCAGTGTGAATATGATATGTGAACAAAATATAAACCCCGTCCCTTATTTACACAACACTGTTCTAAGTTAACCTAACGTTTGTTTATGCTATTTGTTAAGCATGCTAACACCTTAGCTGTTTCTACTATAACGTTAATGAATGACAGCAAAACTGTTTCTTACCATTAAGCGAAAACAAAATCCTTAAAGCCTTTATCATACAACGAAACGAGTTAATGAAGACCACGTTATTTAAAGTTAAATTATACCAGGGGGAATATTCATTTGGCTCAGGCCAGCGTTAAATCCCTTTAGCCCCGAGCAGATGACGCCTAGCTAACTGTGACAACCCACCAGGGGACCCCTTGGACACCACTTTGTTGTCATCAAGTTTGAACATAATTAGCTCACATCCTGTGTTGTCTGTCTGACAAAGCTGTTGACTTCATTAGTTGAATGTATGTACAAATAAGATGTTACAGAAATAACAATCGTCAGAATACTAATACATATTACATACAATTATTAAACATGGTTATGTGAATATTAATACAATTCTGAAAACACCCTCTTAAACAACACCCTCATACTGAAGAATTATTCCCAGAATAAGTACAGCAGTTCTGTGAGGTTCGTGTTCCGGTGAGTTTGCAGGTTGATGAAGACTGTAGAGTACGCCATAAGTTTAGCAAGTTTAAAGCAGGGTTAGATTTTAAAATAATATTCCAAGCTTCAAACATATCACAGTGTGCTTTTCAATCCATTGTCACAAAATATACAGAGTATGGCGCAACAGCAAGCTAAGGGTTGGTAAAATTAACTTAAAGTTTAATTACATTATTTTGTGTTGTAAAAGTGACTACTAAAAATCTTTACAACTTATTTGCAGACTTTTCTAGGCAACTTTATGGCTGTGACTGCACTGCTAACACAGCCCCACAAACACAAAAGCTATTACCTATTATGAAAGTAGCACGCATTGCTTGAATTCAGATGGAGAAACAAAAGATAACCCAAAAGTACTAAAAAAAAATGGCAAAAGTGTTGTAAAAGCTTAAATTCACTCAAAGAACAAAATAATGTGTTGGAGGATGGCTTGTTTTATTTTAGGGCCAAGATTATATGTCACACTTCCTGAAACTAATTTGTGAAATAATATCTAAATTAAATACATGGTGTGAAAAGTTGTGTGAATGTGAGTGGGATAATGCCACAAAAACTGTTTAGAAAGACCGTGAAATCAAGCTAAACCTGTTACTTCAAATAGACCTTTCAAGACTCTGATTTGTCCTCAATTGATCTACACTTTATTTATAGCTACTATTTATAATCTGTGCTTTATCTAAGCAAAATAGAGCTTTGTTCAACTACTACTAGCACCCCCTTCCTAAGTTACCGCTTTGAGATTACTGCAATTTGACCCAGAAGTATGTAATGTACCGCATGCAGGACACAAAAGTGCTAAGAGTTATCATTGTTGCACTCCGGCGTACATAAATAGATGTGTGTCTGGTATCAGTGAGATTCTTGGCATGGATTCCCAGGCCATAGGATCAGTTCTGTTGTTGGTTTGGCTTCGGTGCAAATGAGAATTATCTAATTACTGGGCATCCAAAGCAGTTGGTCTTAACACTAAGCTGTATCTAGGCTTGTGCCCAAACCAGTATCACTCGTTGAATGAAACTGTGAATTAAATGCAAGCAGATGATCAACAGTAACAATCGGAAGATTTCAAATCCTAACGCGATATTCGCTGCTTTTCTCCTCCTCCTCCACAGATGCATCAAAAGGCTCTTCACTGCCTTGCATTGCTTTGTGAGTAGAAGACGATGGTTTGCATTTCAGTTGTGGTATAAGCTACGTGCTCCAGACCTGACGGCCAGCTATGTTTAGAAGCACAGTAATCGGTATGAAAGGTTTCAGCAACACAGCCGCACAGGGACAGATGGAAGCATATTAGATCAGCCTTAGGGGCTTTGAGTGTTGCCTGGAAACAATTAGCAGTTTAAAAAACTTTAAACAGCTTACCAACACCGAGACGCAGGAATTATGTGGCAAGTGAGAAAACGTGTTCCACAATACTCAGGACTGTTGCTCTGGATAATACAGATTTTATTTATTATACGCAGGAGACCTCAAGGCACCAAACCCTCTCGTTTATCTCCTCTTTTTCACAAACTGTTGAGATAAACTGTGTTCAATATTTTGTGACACAAGCATCTAATCCTAATTTTAGTTTTTCTTTGTGAATGTTTTTTTTTTATTGATATTCATCTCCCTTTAACCTTGTCTGATTTTGAAACATTAGAATCATGCATTTTTTATTATTTCACAAGACAAACCAACACAAACTAGGAGTACATTCTTCCACAATTGTTTTGCAATGTGGATAGATGGATTTTTATATGTAATAAAAGTTAAATAACCAGAGTTTGGATGTGGGGGGGGGAAATAGTGGGGCACTTACATAGAAGGCATAAACAGTGCTGGATTATTATTACAATGTGTAAAATTTTAAATTGGTTTGGATTAGTTATTATTATATGACGCACAAAGCAGAGGCTTAGCACACAAAATCCTAAAGAGGCATCTTTATTAGCCAAATGAATCGCTGCTTTTACCTTTAAAACAACCTGTTTTAAGAGAAAATATAACGGGTAGTTTCATTTGCACCTGCATGCAGCCGAATCCCTTCTGGGTGCTGCAGAGGTGGTGGGTGAGTCAGCCTGGCTGTTTTTTTTTTTTTTTGCGCTGGCAGATTCTAAAGACCTTTTGGCAGTGTTTTTATTTGTATACAGCCTGTAATTGTACAGACAGATCCTGCAGTAAGCAAGGGGGCAGAAGCAGTGTGTGTGAGGCGTCGCCTCTGTGACACAGTGGGAGCGAACTATACGTGAACAAGACTGGATGGAAAGAGAGTGGTGAATAAGGTTTTGTTTTAATGCTATTGACATAAATAGATTTGTTTTGATTCATTGATGTGTCGGTGCCGTCTTAAATAGATGAGAGTGTTGCATTTATTCCTGGCCCCGTCTTGAGGACAGTGAACTCAGCTTTGCAGGGCAGCAAGAGTGGCTGCTGACTAATTAATCCTCTTAGTGTTCTTCACTCCGCAGCTTCGCTCTGTGGCAGTTGTTGACTTCATTTCAAAAGCGTCCAGGTGGTGACCTACAACTTAGCGCGAGCGAGTTCACGCATCTTTGATGGGAAGATAACGTTAGTGCAGGGGTCCTCGTTACCTCAGGATTTACACAATTTTTTTTTCGTTTCCTTGTATGGGATACATCTTTATTATGATATCTGTCTACAATTGCTGTGCAATGGAGTCAGCAGAGGTGGATTATGACAAGCTGGTTACATCTATCCTAGGACAAATGCTGGATTTGAGGAGTGGGGGCATAATATGTAAAACAAAAGAGGTTAGTACTCTACATGATACAAATTATACAGACTAGTTATAAAAACAGTATACAGGACTCCAACTTTGAAACAAACACGTATTGGTAACTGACAGACTCGAGTAACTAAACACGATTCACAAAGACAAACTGCTTGTTCCCACTTTTATTTCCTTATTTTTTTTAAATGCCCAGATGACAAAGTATTTGTTTTAAACAGATTTTTTTTTTTTACATCCAGCCTGTTGTGTGTGTGTGTGGACACATAATCTTAGAGAGAAGGAGATTGGTGACAGTGGACTTTTAGAGGCTTGGAATGCAGTCAAGAAGGACCTGGAGGAGTTTAACTCTCCATAAACCAGCTCAGAGCTAATTCTGGCTACCAGATCATTCAGTTGAAAGCTGCCTTCCTCGTGGCGCACACTTTGTCAACATGTGGAGCCAAACAAATGTTATTTTGAGTGTTTGCTGCATATCCAAATCTGCCTCGGGAATCTCAAAACAAATCAAGTAGATTATAAATGCTTGGTGTTTTGTAGTTGGTAGAAGAAGGTATAAAAACAAGAGCTAAATCTGAGCTATAATTAACATTACCTTGTTATCTTTAGAATTTAATTTAAGAAATTATGTATTCCTTTATTACCTATTCATAAGTACTAAAACTGTGTTGCAGTTTTGGAGATATAATAAAAGTAAATTGTTTTAATGAAAGTGGAAAAACTGAACTAAATATATCTCTTACAGTGGGTAATATTAGTGGGTGCTATCAAGGCTCATCGGGGCTGCAAAGCTCCACTTTAAATCCTAAAGCTTTGTTCAGATATGCATGTTCCTTTTCCGATTAGCAATGATACAACAACCAGCTTCAGTGATTTTCTTAAAAACAGGAAATGACAAGTTGGAATTTATTTCAGAGTTTGTCTCATATAGACATACATTCCCAGTAATACTTGGTTACATGTTCCTTACTAAGCTGCAACTCTACCCTAGCTTATTGTATCACCAAGACCATGGCATAATTACAGGTGGATGTTTGACTGATATGCTTGTGAGATATGATTAAGATTAACATGCTTTATTTGTCCCAAACCAATTCTAATTTAAAAATAGTTTGTCTTTATTTATCATTAGCTTGAATCAAAAGCAATGCCCGATTTTCATTGCTTAATTTTAAGTAATTGTTTTTATTATTATTGTGAGCATGGGTTAATTATCATGTGGCAAGACCAAGTTTTAATCAAATGGCTATTGACTTGAGGTGATATTGAAACATTTGGAAGTAGTCCTTCATTTCAATTTTTCCACCTAGATTGTGCAATGCACAATTGAAGGTTGGTGTTTTCATGCTTGACAGTTGGTAAAGTATTTTTAGGTATAAATGTCTAAATAGACACAAGGAACCATCATTACATCCAGTAAATTTTGAATTTGTGCACATATTTTGAAGAATGAATCAACACAAATTGTATATTGGATAATCATTCCACCCCAGAAAAACAGTTGTTCAAATGCACCATTAAAAGCCAAAGACATGAACAACACGGTTTATGTTAGATTAGGAACCTTACGCTATCTGTGAAACATGGGTTTGCTGCATGAGGTCCAGGACAGATTACGATTGATGGAACCTGCGTGTATTTGGATAACGCTTAGATATCAACAAACAGGTATACAACTTGGACAAGTGCTGAGTGGTTAAGAACAAAAACAGTTCTTCTCTATAGTCAACTCTAAGTACTGACCCGAATCCAATTAGAAAGGTTAAGTGTGAGTCTGAGTTGAAGAGTCTACGAATAACATTAGTGTCTCAACAAACACTTTAGCATCCTGGAAATAAAGCTTCTCTGCACATAGGAATTGGTAAAAAAAAAAACAAAAAGACAAGAAATTCTTTTTCTTAATTCAAGCCATTTTTCTGAAGAAGTTTGGTATGTAAATGTAGCAGATTTGAGCAAATTAAATTCCAATGTAGTTGCAGTAAAAACGGTATCACATTTTTCATTAAGTTGAATGTTTACTTCTGATTTTTCTCCTTTCCCCTGGTACACCTCAAGTCTGCAGCTTCTTGCTGATCTAAGCCCAACGGGTGATGCCAGCTCAGGTCACCATGGTGACCTTTGCTGACACCAGGCAGGTCTCTCCGATGGAGCTTCATGAACCTCCATGTCTGAGTGGCACTCTGTCTCCTGGGCTCAGGCGGAAAAAGATGCTGTGGCAGAACGCGGTGAAACACATCATTACCCAACAAGAGCTCAGCTCTCAGGTGATTCACGGTTCAATCTAAACCTTAGTTTTTCTGTATTCTAGTTGTTGATTGGAGTGGAGTAACGCTAATTCATTATTCCACCCAATTTGAGTCTTGTAGTAAAATAGAGCCTCCACGTGACGCTTCACAGTCGAAACCGTGAAAATGTGCCAGTTATTTCATTCACTTTCCTTAGAATATGACAAAAGTAGACCAAATATAATGAGAAGAAAACATTTAAAACCATGTTTTCTTTCTCTCTAGTAAAGCCATTTTCCATTGCAAACCACTGATTTCCTTTTTTTTTTTTCCATCAGGTGGGTGTGGAACCAGCTCGCAAAATCTTTGTGACCGATACCTACATAGATGAGATCAACAAACAAATCCGCAGCAAGGCCTCCCGCGGAGTCACAAAACGCCGCTCCTCCACATTCAAAGTCCACAGTCGAACCTCCACCAGCACGCACGGCAGCATCAGGGTCCCAACGCAGCACTACACCAGCGACGCTGACTTCTTCGTGCACTGGTGCAACACTGTTCACAGCGTTTACATACCCATGCTGGGGCACACCTTCAAATCCCGCGATCTGGAGAAACTCTACCAGCGATACTCCTCCCACCAGAGGAGAAACTCTCTGGCCGTCACCAATGTAATCGATGCAGTGACTAAGCTCCACATGTTGGTCCTGTATCTGGCACTGGCCCCGGATGCTGTTACGGATCGTTTGCGTGGCTATTTGACTGGCATCTTCATGGTGCTAGCTATAGCGCTTTGCATACTAGTGTTAACCTGCAAAGACTCCATGTCCCCACAGTGGCTCCATTATGCTGGCATTGCAAGTTGGCTGTCACAGACCACACAGATCCTAGGGGGCCTGGCCTATGGACTAGAAAAAGACCCATCATGGTATATTTTGTTCACACTGTTTGCAACATACACACTGCTGCCATTACCTCTGCTGTGGGCAATGTGTGCTGGCTTCCTCACCCCAATACTGCACATTTTGATGGAGATATGGTTCCACTACAATGATGCTTTGCTTTTGAATAAGGTAAGTAAAGCAAATGTGAAACGATTAGTTTTCAAAATAAGAAAATCCTTCTGGAAACTCACAAGAAAAAAATGACAACAGGGTTTCAGGTGTGCTGGACAAGGTTGCGGGAAATGGCTAAATAAAATTTGTCTCTTTTTGTTCTTACTTTGGGTTTATTTCGTCTTGTTGTTAGCCTAGTTATTTCTTTCAATCATTTTTAATCCAAGTGTTCTAGATTTTATCGTTTGAAATAAAATTTAACACTCTAATTCCAGGTGTTTGCCAAAGGCCTGCTGTACATGGGCATGAACACAGCTGGCTTGTTCATCCACTATCTGACTGACCACGCCCAGCGGCAGGTTTTTCTGGAGACGCGGCGCTGCATTGAGGGTCGCCTCAAACTCGAGCAAGAGAACCAAAGACAGGTTGCAAAGTGACAAAAAAAAAAATAAATCACACGTTATTAATTTCTCAATTTTTTTATTTTCATTCAACCTTTTAGATAACATCATTCTTTTACATTTTTCTCCTGTGATTGTCCTTGAATTACCAGTCATTGATTACTTCCTCGTGTTGTTGCCTCACAGGAGCGACTGGTCCTGTCAATCCTCCCTCGCTTTGTTGCTTTAGAAATGATCGCTGACATGAGCTCCATGGAGAACGAACTCATCCCCCACGAGTTTTATAAGATCTACATCCACCAGTACAAAGATGTCAGGTACTTAGACTGGCATGCGTTTGTGATTGTGGATCTGCGATTCATGACCTTTACGATGGTAGACCTCTTGATTACCACCCATATTAAAGCAAATTAGGATTTAAAGGTGATTAAATGTTTAAATCGTCCTTTGAATTCTATTCTTGTTTCTGTCTTCTCTCTAGCATCCTTTTTGCAGACATTAAGGGCTTCACCCAGCTGTCTATAAACCTGACAGCCCAGGAAATGGTTCTAACCCTTAATGAGCTCTTTGGACGCTTTGACCGACTTGCTGAGGTTAGAGCTTGCATCATTTCTCTGCGATCTCTCATATTCATCTGAGAATAATCAATCTGTTACATATTCATTTCTTCTCTCTTTGTAATGCTCACCTATTGACGTCTAATCTTGTTTTTAATCTCTGGAATAAAACAAATTAATTGCAGTTAAAGAACAAATATTAACCTTGTTTTACTCATGTGTTATGCCCTAATACTTCCTAATGCTTAAACTATATATATTTTTCTGCTGGCTGTATTCTAAAAAGCTCTTCTTTTATATCTTATCACAGGAGCATCACTGTTTGCGGATAAAGATACTGGGAGACTGTTACTATTGTGTTTCAGGGGTACCGGAGCCGCAGCTTGCCCATGCACGTTACTGCGTAGAAATGGGCCTGGCTATGATCAGCACAATACGGTTAGAGTTAATGTCCTTACAGAAAGAGAGTGATATACAATGAGGCTACGTACCTGGATTGTGTGAATAAATGAAAACACAAACGCTGGTTCCTTTGAACAGGCTCTCAAGATTGCTCAGAGTTTTGGGATCTTTTATGCTTTCTTCTTTTTGACTTGCTCAACTAGTTTCTTTGCAGTTAAAATCTATTTGGTCCTAATGTTTTATCTCATCTAATCAGACCAGAGTAAACAATCCCCGTTCGAGTTCAAGTACCCAGTGAGCAGTGGGCTTGATTTTAGTAGTGAAGTTTCATAAAATCCACAAAGAAGTTTGATAATAATGTTAGAAAGGCCTCAAAAGTGCCTCATTTGATTCTTGTCTTTTAAAGTAATTTTATCTTCTTCTTTTTTTTTTTAGATCTTATATTTTGGTAATAATATTAGTGAGGAAGATTCTTGTCCAAAAAATACAAATACACCCTACTGAAGGAGAGGAAACACTTTTTTTTCCTTTTTTTTTTTTTTTTACATAAAGTGCTTTAAAACATCTGAGCTGTTCAGAATGTGCTCTGACAGCATCGTTCATCGTAGACCAAGTTCAGTTTGCTGCTGTAGGAAAAATGCCAGATGTAATTTTCAACCTACACTGAGCACCTCTGTGACAGAGCTGTTCTGAACACAGAGAGGACGCATCTCTTCTGCTCCTTTCTATGAGGGGGGCGCTGATGATGTTAAAAGGAAATGCCTCTAAAAAATTCTAAAACAGTATCAGGTGATGTTTGATCGTGAGTTTTATAGTTGTTGGGATCAGTAAAGTTTCTTTAATTGCTTTAAAAATGCCAGACTTGTCCAGAAGCAGCTCAACTTTGACTTGGACATGAGGATCGGTATCCACTCCGGCTCCGTCCTCTGCGGGGTGCTGGGCTTGCAGAAATGGCAGTTCGATGTCTGGTCCTGGGACGTGAGCATCGCCAACAAGCTGGAAGCGGGAGGAATACCTGGGTGGGTGTACCATGAATAAGCACAGAGAAGCACCTGAATGGTCGCGTTTGACATGTGATGCGTAACCCGTGTTTGTTTCTTGTCACTTATCCAGACGTATCCACATCTCCAGGGCCACCCTGGATTGCCTGGGAACCACATACGAGACGGAGGACGGCCACGGCCGTGACAGGAATGAGTTTCTGCGAAAACACAACATTGACACCTTCCTTATTTGTCCTCAAGAAGGCAGGAACCAAGACCACCATCCCGAGCCCATAAAAGTTCAGAAGAGCAGTCGGACGTGGAACCCAGAGATCCCTTTTGGTCGTGCCGTCGATATGAACTGCGTAAGTGTAGGGACACAAAACAGATTCAAGGAGTTTACATTTATGTGCTTGTTATTTAGCCTTTTATTCGCTTCAGTCTTTTTTGATGTTGTTCCTCTACAGATTCTGGCCTCTTTCACCAACGGCTCTCTGCCCAGCTTATGGCAGTGCACCTCCAGAGAGATAAACAAACGCATCAAACACGCTATCGAGGTCCGAAGCAGTGAGCGCATGCGCAAGGAGCACGTCACTGCTCTGACCCTGGTGTTCAAAGACCCACACATAGAGAACAAGGTACAGCATGTAGTTGCAGTTCATAATCAGTCTATGGAGGTAAAGTACTTCTTCTTAGTATTAAGAAATGATTGTCGCAGATTTTTCTAAATAGTTTAAATGAACTAAAACAAGTTACTTTCTTGTATTTAGTTCTCCCAGATCAGAGATGAAATGTTTAACTCCAACATGGTGTGCTCCTTCATCGTGCTCCTCTTCCTCATGGCTGCCCAGGCCGTCATCCCTACTCCCAGGTGGAAAGATGCTGAGTTGTTTAATGTTTTTTTTTTTGTGTGTGTGTGTGTAATGCAGGAAGCGTGAAGGATTAGAGTTGCAGACTATTAAAGATATGGAGCAGAAATATTTGACAGACTGTTTAACAGACTACCAGCATTTAAGACATATGATGACGTCTCAAAAAACAGCTGTGAGATAAAGAGAGAACTAAAAAAAAGACAAGCAAAATTATACTTTTTAGAATTGTTCCCAAATAGGTAAAACTTTGAGTGAAAAAAATAAAAACAATCAAATACAGAATGCATGGGAAGGAATGACAGGAAATGACCAAATTGTGTTGCCATTCTGTCCAATTTTCTGTCCTGGATTAACATTTTTCCTCCTCTTGTCCCTGCTGGGTGTTCCACCTGCAGACTGTTCCCCACCGTCCTCCAGTTTTCCCTCTTCCTTCTTGCCTACTTGCTGCTGCTGCTGGTTGCCCTTGCCGAGGAGTTCAAGTGGACTCCAGCCGCTTTGCAGAGGTTCTGCTGCTGGATCCACGAAAACAACAGCGCCCGAAACCTCCTCACTCTCACAGCCATCGTCGCCAACTTTGGCTTGGCTTCGACTGACTTGGTGAGAGTTGGAATTTGCACAAGGGCTGAGAAAATTAACACACTT